ACCACTCCATAAATAGACATTGCTCTAGACATACTACAGTGTAATTTATAAATTAAATTATTACAGTATATTCCCTTCAAAGTTGAGTAACATAATTTGGTTTTGGCATTTAGTATATTGGGAACAGACATTTGAATGGTGGGTATAAGCCAAGCTAAAACTAAAAAGCAACACACAATGTTCTTCCTCATTATATTTGGATATTGCAAAGGTTTACATATAGACACATATCGGTCATAGGCCATGACTGACAAAAGCAGAAATTCAGAACCATTCAGAGAATAATACAAGAAGCACTGAGACATACAGGCAGAATATGTTACAACCTGCTTTTCAGACAGAACATCGATCATCATCTTGGGGTAGATGACAGTGCTGAAGAGAATAGAGTTACACAGCAAAGCAGCAATGAAAATGTACATTGGTTCATGGAGGTTTTGGTGCATCCAAATGAGACATACAATAGTGGCATTACTGCAGATTACAAAGATATACACAGTTAACATAATGAAAAAATAAAGGAACTTGTATTTTTCAACCTCGACAAAACCACCCAGTGTAATATAGGACACGTTTACCTTTGAATCCATTCTCTACTTAACTGATATTCTTCAACTGAAAATATATCATGATGGAAGATAAAGCATTTTTATAAAGTGAACAAGAAATGCTAGACTGCAGTCCTATTCCATTGCCCAACCCACTGCTCAGTTGTTTTTATAGCCTTGTCATATCACATGTGAATACCAGTGAGATTTGCAAATAAGAATGTTACGCAATTTAAAAAGTGAATATTCAAAATAACTTTTCTGCACTGTGTCAGGACAAGAAAAAGTCCATGCATGAGATGGACCTGTGTTCTTCCTTTTGTAGATCTTCTTTATACATATAAAATAGTTAATTGTGTTTTGATTGCTGTGTCAATGTTTTGCTGTGTCTGACAGTTAACATTATGGCAACTATGTTTAGAAATGTAATTTTGTCTTCTTGTTATATAGACGTTGTGTTTTCTTATTATAAGACAACTTTATAAAAGGTTAAATAGCTTATTTACCTCATGTATTTCAGTGGCAGTACTTCCGCCTTTGTCAGAGGCACAGACTGTATATATAAATGGACATAGCTAACCTTATAGCCACCGTATTTGAAATAGGAAGTTTGCATGTAACCTCTTCCAGCTCCTACTGACCTTGTCCCATTGACTTACATTGGAATATTGTGGCCCCCTCTCTACAACTGCTGCTGTAAGCCTCATCGCTTTGGTTTTATGATGTTCGTATTAGCCCACTAACCATGATCCTGGTGTTATTTTTTTTACTGTATTCTGTCTGTCAAAAAAAATCCTATTCATAATAGACTTTTTTGACAAAGTGCGGTGATGCAGGGTAAACGTCACGAACGTCAGTGCTTTTCTATGGCAAAATATCTGTAGAAATGTCTCACGTATTTTCCATCAGCTTCATAAATCTGCCCCATCACTAAATCTTCATCCAACAGGGTCCACAAAGGACATATTCTGTCCACCACGAGGCATCCGGAGCAGATGACTAAACCACCTGAGCTGGCTCCTCTGAACATGTAGGAGCAGCGGCTCTACTCTGAGCTCCTCCTGTGTGACTGAGCTCCTCACTGTATTTCTAAGGGAGCACCCAGCCACCCTGCAGAGGAAACTCATTTTGACTGCTTGTATCTGCGATCTCTTCCTTTCATTCATTACCCAAAGCTTGTGACCCTAAATGACTATGGTATCCAAAAATATACACTCCACTCCGCCCCATCGTAGACAGCACAAGTTCGGTCACATACATCCAAAGCACTAGTTGAAATAATCAAGCCCCTTATGGGAAATACAGAACACCACTCAACTCAACTCAAAAGAAGTGGCCCAGGAACTCCCAGACATCCCAATACAAGAGAATGAAATACTGATTTCACATGGCGGTGTATTATTATTAACCAAAACACCCGTTGATGTCACATTTGGCGACACGGTGCCTGAGTGGCTAGCACTCATGCCTCACAGCAAGAAGGTTCAAGCCCCAGGTTGTCCGGGCCTTTCTGTGCGTCGTTTGCATGTTCTCCCCGTGTCTGGGTGGGTTTCCACTGGGCACTCCACTTTCCCCCAACAACCCAAAAAAAACATGCAGCATGGGTTAGATCCTCTAGCTAAGACAGTCCTGACAAAGCCTAGCAACAAGATCATAGAGATAGGTCCCCGGGCTGCCTCCCATGGCAGTGGGCAGCTCCCATGTGCTGCCCACTGCTCCTGAAAGGCTGGGTGAAATGCAGAGGAGAATTTCCCTACAAGGATCATTTTAAAAACGACTACTACTACAACAAAACAAAATAAAACAAACAAACAAACATAAAAATAAAAATATACATTGTACAGGAAAGACTAACACAGGACCAGACACTCAGGAAATGCACCAATCTCCCAGTGACAGACATTACACAGATCTAATCTTTCATTGCTACATCCACATACTTCCAATAGAAAGGCAAGATATACAGACAAAGAGCTTTGCAATGGGAGACCATTTCTGGACATTCATGAATGGATCACACAAGCATTCAGACAATTCCAACATCCCACATGGGCCATTCAAAAAGGAAAACAACAGATAAAAAATAGACAAAAATGGAAAAGAAAATGACCAAAACACAAGGAAACAGAATACAAGGAAAGAGTGAAATGACCATACATACAGGAGTCACACAACAAATATATGTCAATATTTAGACAATGACATCATAAACATTATTTTTCAAGCATTTTTTTCATTGTCGGAGTAGCAGCACTTTACTATTTTTCTAACATTCTGCTTTTCCGACATGAATAATATTAATGTAATAGCTTATTATACTTTGCGCTCCTATAGATCATAAGATGCTTGGGCCGGTGCAAAGCACTTGATCAGAGAATACTTCGACCACATAGGATATCACAGAGTGGGAAAATATCCTAACTGATCACCGTGGAAAACAGTCATGCATTTAAAAAAAAGAGTTTAGCCCAGACTTCTGGAAAATATCAAATCTAAAATAGTTGTTGAGATTAAGAACATCAACGACCAGCAAGAGACGCACCTGTGTAGACTATATAAAATATAACATGTCGGATTAGTGATACTAAAAAGTGTTGGAAAACCAGCACATCTAAATAGAGACATGTCATAATACCGGCATGTCTAAATAGAGACATGTCGTAATGAAGTGATGTTGGAAGAGGCGGCGGACCCCGCTGTGTGATTTTCACTCTTGTCTATACTGTATAGTTTTGGCTAACATCTTATGTTACTCTTATGTCTTATGTAACACTTCTGTGTTTAGAAAGGTAGGTGTTTGTGTCTAAAGTCGGAAACCTAATAAATATTATTGATAAATATTTTAATGACTGGGTAATCTTTGCTCAAAATTCTGGTTTGTTATATTGTGTGTTTTCATGAAAGTTGGCAATAGCTTTGAGACACTTAAAAACCTGCCTAAACACAAAAGTGTCCTCAGGAAACTTTTAGTTTTTGAGCTCAGTTTTTAAAATCATATCATGAAATTTTAACCAACTAAGTGCAGCATGTGCAGTTCAAAAGGCACTCATATCCATGGAGACCATGAGAGAATCTAGATTTGAAGATGCTACAGGCTTTTACTCCATATGTGGCAGCTAAATTGGCAGAAGATCTTCCAGAAGAAATACTTTGAGGGAATGGACTATTTCATCACCAACTGAAACAAGGCCTTTCCTGTTGTGTTCACCTGGTCCTCCTGGACACTGCTGTGATGCTGCAGGACACTTTTGGCTCTTCCACAGGATCTGCTGACCCTCACTGACCAGTCCTCCTGTTAAACTGCACTGAGACCTTTGACTGAAACACAAAGGCCACTGAGACGAGCAGTGTAAATGTAGCAGCAACAGCAACTGCAACAGTTTGCTGCAGCAAAACTTGAATTCCCCTCAGAATCATTCGGGTCTACTGTCAATGACATCCAAAACCTGTCTGACCAATCCAAAGATTATGTCCTTGGTGTGAAACAGCCTTAGGGGATGATGATGGGGCAGCAGTGGCTCAGTAGAACACTGTCCCACTCAGACCACTGCTGTTGTGTCCTTGGGCAAGGCTCTTCTTCACCCACCTTGCTCCGGTGTCCATGAGAGTGTGTTTGAGCAAATGTTTACCATGTATATCATGTATGTCATTAACATGCGCTGTACTCACCAAATAAACAAAACACTGCAACATTGTGTGGGTTAGTCTTTTTATAGAAGCATTTAAACCACAGTTACAGTCAAATCATTTTAAACTTGATCAATTAAATGTCTGTGGAATCCCTCAATCCAGGTAGGTTCCATGTTATTTGTAACTCATACTTGACCAATGAGACATTGACATTAGTCACTGAAAATCTGATTGCATGATTATGTTTGGCCAGACTCAAGATATGCTGGAGGCAGTGGGGACCACACTGATATTGATCTGTATAAAAAATACACAGAGATATCATTCTGAATTGGTCATGCAGCTGGTTTAGTGCTTGGTAAAACAAATAATTTCTTAGTGATACTTGAGTGGCTTTTACAGATGTGAATGTTGACACACTGGACATACCATAAATGAAGATAATAAAAGTTATTTTACAGTCCCAGCCACTTCAAAGTCAGCTTTGGTTCTGGAAGTAAAATTTCCATTCATGTTTCCAATGGACTTTATTTTTTTTTTCCCTCAAAAAATAATCTTTAAGGGTTCAAAGACATTGTGGAGGCTAATCAGCATTCATAACACAGTGGTTTTGACTCCAAAAAACAAATTTAAAATACCAGATTCAGTGGAAACCGCCTCCAGGGTCAGTGTACTCTGGTGTATGAAAGTGTGTGAATGGGTGAGTGGTTCTGATGTAAAGTGCTTTGAGTGCCTTGAAGGTGTGACCATTCACTATAAAGTTGAAGAAATAGATTTTAAATGAAATTGTAGGTCTTGTGGTCATTTGTTACCACAGAGCTTTCAGACTTTCAATATTAATTTTTTTCTGAAGATCTGTGAGAAAGAATAAATGGAACGTTTCTTCCAGGAGTGAGAGCAGGCCATCACTGTTGAGCTCCATTGCAGCAGAAGATTACAAAACAGTTTTAACATTACATTTATGAACAATCTTTTCAGATGCTTTGAAATTTCTTTCATTTTTAATCCGTATATGATGGGGTTGAATAGAGGGTGATAAATAGCAAGTTGTAAAGTCATTATGAGACGTACAGTGTCTGATAAATTAAATTGAATTCTGACAATTACAATTTCATATGTGATTAAACATGAAAAATTGATCAAAACGAGTAGATGTGGCAAGCATGTTTCTGCTGCTTTCTTCCTCACTTTTTTACAGCTTCTAAATGTGATCACAAATATTTTTATGTACGTAAAAACAATAAAAAGAAGAGGGAAGATGGTCACATTGAGTAAAACTATTGTTCCATACACAGTCACTATTCCAGACATGGTACAATAAAGCTTGTTTACCAAATTGTTACAAAACATCCCATTTAAAGTAAAATTGCAAATATCGTTTTTTTCAGCATTCAGTGCAATGGGCACAGACACTTGGGCAGCAGGGAAAAGCCAAGCAAAAAACAACAACCTCTTGATATTAGACTTTCTCATTATGGTTGGATATTGCAAAGGTTTACATATGGACACATATCGATCATAGGCCATCACTGCCAAAAGTATAAACTCAGAACCACTAAAGGCATAGTACAAGAAACACTGAAAAAGACAGGCAGAATATGTTATAACCTGCATCTCAGAAAGAAAGTCCAATAACATCTTGGGGTAGATGACAGTGCTGAAGAGAATCGAGTTACACAGCAAAGCAGCAGTGAAAATGTACATTGGTTCATGGAGGTTTTGGTGCATCCAAATGAGACATATAATAGTTGCATTACTGCAGATTACAATGATATACACAATTAACATAATGAAAAAATAAAGGAATTTGTATTTTTCAACCTCAACAAAACCACCCAAGGTAATATATGACATATTTACCTTTGAATCCATTCTCTACTTAACTGATATTCTTCAACTGAAAATATATCATGATGGAAGATAAAGCATTTTTATAAAGTGAACAAGAAATGATAGACTGCAGTCCTATTCCACTGCACAACCCACTGCTCAGTTGTGTTTATAGCCTTGTCATATCACATGTGAATACCAGTGAGATTTGCAAATATGAATGTTACGCACATTCAAAATAACTTTTCTACACTGCATCGGAGGACTAGAAGATGTCCATGTATGGGACTCTTTCTGTTTATCAACGGGCCTTCCTAATGTGGCTAATTTACAAATAAATAAATAAATAAATACACTACAGACACCATTTTCGCATTTCACATATTAGTTTAAATGCTAAAGTTCCACACTTGTGAATGAGTGTAGGGATATCTCATTAGGTAAGACATTAGTTTTGAATGTGGGAGACTGGGGTTTGAGACTCACCTGCCCCAACTGTGTATGTATTTACTTTGGCTGAAGTTTTTCATGAGTTTCACTTTTTGCGTTCTCTTTATTAGTTATATATGAGTAGTAAGATCGATGCATCACTGATCACAATACAGGCATAAGATGGTGTTTTTCAAATGTACTTTTGTTGTGCTGTTAGTTGTACTTTGTTGATGTTCTCCTGTTTAGTTAGTAAAGTGCTGCACTATCACGTAAAGGGGTCGGAGTTTGAGTTTTAAGATAGACTGGTTATTTTTTGTTTTTGCTCATGTTTTCCTCATGGCGTTCCCCTCAAAGTGCCCAGTGAAGCTCATTTCTTTCCAGGCCCAGGCACTGGGTGCTGCGCAAAGGCAAAGCTTCTGACAGGTGAGCAGATCTAGGTAGTGTGAGATCATGTCTTCCTGAGGCCCACTTATCCCAATTTGAAACTAAGCAGTCAGAGCCAGAGCGGAGATCACTGCTCCAGGCTGCTAGACAGAACACTGCAATGCCTCTCTGGCTTTAGTGGGACTGGTGTGTGCCCTCCTCAGCTACACTGTGGCTGATGAGGAGACCGGGCGGGTTTCCCGGACTGTTGGCTGGTGCTGCTGCTGGTCACGAGGAGCAGGCATTTTGTGTATTGTCATCGCAATGGGATTTGTGTGAGTATGTTTGTTATTACAACATTCACAAGTGACTTTTAGAGTTGTGCCTAACTGCTCCTGTTCAACATGAAAGTAGGCCAACAGCCTCTGGCATGATTATGTGTACGAAAGTGTACGTTCAGTGGCAGGGTAACAACAGCAGAGCAGATCCACCAAGGCTGGAGACTGAAACATACTGGAAAGGCATATGGGAGAGGGAGGCATCACATAACACTGATGCACAGTGACTGGTGGATCTGAGAGAAGAGCACAGCAACCTCCCTGAACAGAATCCAGTCACCATCACAGTGGCAGACATTCAGGAAAGAGTCTCAGGCATGAAAAATTGGACAGTACCAGGCCCTGACATGATCCACGCATACTGGCTAAAGAAGCTCACTGCTCTCCTGGCAGCACAAATGAACGAGCTGCTAAGGGCTGGGACTCACCCTGATTGGCTAACCCAAGGGCATACAATCCTGATCCTGAAGGATCCCTCAAAGGGTACAGTCCCATCCAACTATTGGCCAATAACCTGTCTCTCCACAATATGGAAGCTCATGTCAGACATCATCGCAGCCAAGATAAGCGGGCACATGGATCAATACATGAGTGCAGCACAGAACGGCATCAGCAAAAACACCAGGGAAGCCAAGCATCAACTCCTGGTTAACCGAACAGTCACTGTGACTGCAGAATATGTCAGACCAACCTGTCCACTGCCTGGATTGATGACAAAAAAGCCTATGACTCAATGCCACACATGGATCACTGAGTGCTTGGAGTTGTATAATATCAGTAGGACTCTAAGGGCCTTCATTATAAATTTGATGTGGTTGTGGAAAACCACCCTTGAAGTCAATGGAAAGCCACTTACACAAGTGTCCATCAAATGTGACATATACCAAAGAGAGGCACTGTTCCCACTGCTGTTCTGCATAGGTCTGAACCACCCTCAGCCAAATTATCCACTGCACTGGCTACGGATACAGACTCAGGAACGGGGCCACCATCAGTCACCTCCTCATCTCCTCTACATGTATATCATCATGTAACAACAAGGAAAGCGACTATGACCAAATACCTGCAATGAGTGAGGCAAGTCCTAAGAAGCCAGCTCAATTGCAAGAACAAGCCCCAGGCAATAAACAGCTCCGCCCTGCCAGTGATCACATACCCAGCAGGAATCATAAGCTGGCCAAAGGAGGAGATACAGACCACAGATGTTAAGACATGAAAACTCCTGATTATGCATGCCATCCATCCATCCCAAATCCAGCACCCTGAGACTGTACGCGAGCCGGAAGAAAGGAGTCCGAAGACTAGTGAGGGTGGGAACCACTGTCCAGGCTGAAACATCAAAGCTCCTTAAGTACATTAATGATAAGGCCCCGACAGATGAGGTGCTCAGAGAATGTTTCAGACAGTGGAGTTCAGAGGAAGAGGTGCTGGAGGGACCATCATGGCAGGACAAGCCCCTACACGAGGCGTACCACCAGAACATAACTGAAGTGGCTGATATCAAGCAATCTGACCAATGGCTTGAGAGGGCTGGTCTGAAGGACACACAGAGGCTCAGCCTGGCTGCATGGGAGCAGGCTCAGAGCACCCGAGCAACAGAGGCCCAGATCTACCACACAAGAGCCATGGTGTAGGCTGTGCAGAGAGGCTCCTGAGACAGTCCAGCACATAACTGCAGGGTGTAAGATGCTGCAGGGAAAGCATACATGGAACAACATAACTAAGTGGCGGGCATAATGTACAGAAACTGTGCAGAGTACGGGCTGGAGACACCAAGGTCAAGGTGTGAAACACCTCCAAAGGTTGTGGAGAATGACCGAGTCAAGATCCTATGGGACTTTCAGATACAGACTGACAGAATGGTGATAGGGAACCAACCAGACATAGTGGTGGTGGATAACAAACAGAACAAAGGTGGTGGACATTGCAATGCCAGCGATGGTAATATCAGGAAAAAGGAACATGAGAAACTAGAGAAATACCAGGGGCTCAAGGAAGAGCTGGAGAAAGCCTGGAAGGTGAAGGCATCAGTAGTGCCTATTTAAACTGTTAAACCTGTTAATAAATGCATGTACTAAAAGCTGTTAATAAAAGCATGTACCATTTTTTTTTTTGGACTGTAAGGCACACTTTAAATCCTTTAATTTTCTCAAAAATTGACAGTGCGCCTTATAATCTGGTGCGCCTTATGTATTAATTCTAGTTGTGCTTACTGACCTAGAAATGATTTATGTGGTAAACAGTGTTAAAAAATATGTTGAAATGTTTTAGTACAACTTTGTTAAGCTACAAATCCGCACCGCTTGATAGATTGTCGGAGCATTATGGCTACCTTAGTCAGGGGCCTCGCGGAGTAAGTCCGACAGAGGCTGGCCACATTGATCAGCACAAGGAGCGAGCTGTTTTTTTCAGCACTTATAGTTTATGTAAATTAGACATGTGGCTCAGGCCCGATAGTACCCTAAAATTAAAGTTTAATCTTGATTTGTAGCTACAAAAAAGTTGCTTCACATGTGGCTAAATTTTGTGACTTACCCGTCTGCAGTTCTAACGCAATGCTGGATTTCTTAACATCCTCGTCTAATGCTGGATAATTCTACTGTGCAGCATTGATTAGTTAATAAAGTTAGTTACAAGGACTATCGAAACTGCCCTCTGCATGGAACCAGGGAGCGGGAAGCAAGGACAGTGGCGTTGGTCAGACCTGCGCTCTGCACAGCCCAGAGTGATTGACAGCTCTGGGCTGTGGCAGAGCAGAAGAGATGCCTGCCTTTCATGTTTAGAGCTGCTTTCTGGGCAGCAGCAGTCAAAAGATCTTTGTATTCATTCAGAATTGGGGAGAGGGAGCAAGAGTGACTATTATATCATTCCTTTCTAACTGCCAGTTTCAAAACAGAGTTTTGCTTTCCAATTATTGAATGACTAGGTATTTTACATAATAGTTGGCCAATCAGCTAACCTGAGTAATTACAGAGCTGGAACTCCTAGTTGCCCAAATTGTGGTCGTAGCCATGACTGATCATGTGCACCATCGCACAGTGTCTGTGTGATGTCATAAATTCCTTAAAATTCCATTTAAAATCTTCTTTTGAGGTGTCAGTCTCTTTTTCTGGAAAATCTATGGGAAAAATAAATGGGATTTTATCTTTTAGAACCTGAGTTACTTTCTAAATAAGCTTCATTCACAGTGTGCAATAATGCTAATTCTCCCACTGAAAATGCATTAGAGCTTCCAGGACTGCTTTTTAGAACACATATGCTGTTTTCAAACATTGGAAGATTCTAATGATCCAAAAGCAGTCACACAGTTCAAGATAAACACAAGAACAAGATAAAATTAGTCAAAAAGACATTTTATTATGCAGTCTACAAAGATTAGGGCAGTGAGCATCAAGAGTAAAGACACATTTTCATCTGTTCAATACTGGCATAGTGCAACTTGAGGATACCTTTATTTATCATATCAACATTGCATATCAATATATTTAGTTGTATTTAGAAAACAATCTTTGGAGATGCTTATAAATGTCTTTCATTTTTAATCCGTATATGATTGGGTTGACTAGAGGATGGCAAATAACAAGCTGTAAAGTCACAATCAGACGTATAGTGTTTGGTAAATCAAATTCAATTCTGACAATTACAATTTCATATGTGATTAAACATGAAAAATTTATCAGAACGAGTAGATGTGGCAAGCATGTTTCTGCTGCTTTCTTCCTTACTTTTTTACAGCTTCTAAATGTGATCACAAATATTTTTATGTATGTAAAAACAATAAAAAGAACAGGGAAGATGGTCACATTGAGTAAAACAATCACGCCGTAAATGGTAACTGTTCTGGACATGGCACAAAAAAGTTTGTTTACCAAATTATTACAAAATATTCCTTTCAAAGTTAAATAGCAA